ATAAAATAGCTGATTAGTGAGACACGGTGAAATAAGTAGCGTCAGTAGAATAGCTGACTAGTGAGACACGGTGAAATAAGTAGCGTCAGTAGAATAGCTGACTAGTGAGACACGGTGAAATAAGTACTGCCAGTAGAATAGCTGACTAGTGAGACACGGTGAAATAAGTAGCGCCAGTAAACAACACAGAGAAAAGGTAACAAAGAACTTTAATATTCCTTAGATTACTACAGAATAAAGATTGAATAAAAATGGATAGACTGATAAGTCTATAAAAGTACAAGGTAGGATACTATTAGCTGTCATTCAGCTGCTAGCTGAGAGTTTATACAATGACTTCTTGCTGAGCTGTAACCCCTTAAAGACAAGTAACAGTTTCATTCAAAAAGAAGCTGCTGGCTAAGCTGCTAATTAAGCTGTAATCATTTAATGATAAAAAGCTGCTAGCTGTCTGTGAGAAGAAACTGTTAGCTTTCACTTAACAGGACATATTTGCTAGTTGTCATTCAGTGGTAAAAAGCAAGGGACAGTTTAATAAAATGAGGTCAAAATGGAGCATTTTATTAGTTTACTCTTAACGCGTGTACTGTCAAGATAGAAGAATATTAAATTATAATTCTAGACGAAAGGGGGTCTGGTATATATACATTTCTACAAACAGTTAAATGGGAAAGACTGTATTGATAAGTTGTTTTTCTACCAAGCGAACATCTGAGCTGAAATTGAAGTATATTTTAAGGGCACTATTTATTCACTAAATATTGTGAGTAAATCAGTTAATAAGCTTATATGAAATTAATTTTGAAGATGCTCCCTTTTGGAAGTTGATTATGCATTCACATTTGGAAGATATATTTCTGATCAATCGACGGACAACATAATGGAAGATCCTGTCTTACACCTTCGACAATGCAACGACAAGCTTTTTGACATCAGGTTGGTCTGGGCATTAACCTGGTGTATACATTATGGCCTTGATATACATATACTAGTATTCAGGTTGTATGACACAGAGCATGATCCTACACCAAGATCTGATTACACTCGCAGAGTTGGTATATGGGGGTCCAATACAACATTAGTATTTGATTCAACAGCAGACTCGTCACATGGAAACCCCATAGCATATGTTAGTCTATTCATACTGATGTATCTTTACACCATAACTGAACAACCATCGTTAGCAGTAATAAAACCCAACTGATAATTTCATTTAATATAATCATTATGGGTTTTAACTTTTTGGTGGATTGATTTATGACACTTATTTCTAGTTAATGTGTTATACAGAATTGTCTCCGTTCATTTATAAGTTGCCTTTTTAAATATTATTTTTTTTACTGCTGATTCATACAGTTGTTTTAATTTCGATCTGGAGTTCTTAATTTATTTGTCCGTTCTTAAGCACAAAGTTATGCAATGAGCTATCTGTTCTTTGTCCAACACGGATATCGAAACTCGACTTTTAGCTATATAAGCCTCCAGACTAACCGCTGAGCCACTGCGGGGCTCGAAGTTCTTAATAATTTCATTAATCATATCATTCATCTCTGGTTTTGGAGATCCATAGGTAAAAACATGAAATCTTGGCCCATCTGTGGAGAAACAGAGGAACCTAGTACGGTTGCTGCCAACTCTGTTGGCCCCAACAGAATTCGAAACGGGCTGTGTTATTTGATGCAGTGAATTGCAGGTCGTTTCGGCAAATGAGTAAAATCAGTTTCTTACCGCTTGGTCACTTTTAATCACTTCATTTCCTGCCCTGAAGTCACATGTTGAGTCCATAAGCAGTGAATTGGCGATACTTTATGCTATGGCCAAGTTGTGATCATTATATGTGGTGTAAGTAACTTTGCACGAATACATCCAGGTTGGGATACATACACCAGAAACAAAATGTCTGATTTGCAAATTTGCCAATATGAATTTGAAGGATGCATGCATACAAGAAGCCGTATCTTGTTGTTCATTTTCTATCAATTAAACATCATTGATAGTCTGCTATTCCGCACGCTAGTTAGTATCACTATAACCAAAATTGAGGCGATTACCAAAACAGCAAATCACGTTAATTGAGTGTGAAATTAGAGTATTATCTTTTCAGGACGGGTAGTTGCAAATTGCGCCAAAACGGCCGTGCATTTTCTCACAGAGCACGTGAATTTCATACACAGTTAAGGATATCCCGATTACTATAATTTTTCTAGTCGTATGAAATACATGCCGTTGTAATTTTGATAAAGTGTATTAAAAATTCAAAATAATTAGAAATATATAGATTTAAAAATTATAAATATTAATTTTCATTCAACAACACTGCAACAGCATAGTTTGGATGGGTATGATTCAATAAGAACTTGTCATTAAAAATAGATGAGGGCTCGGCATGGCCATGTGGTTAGGGCGCTTGACTCGCAATCTGAGGGTCGCGGGTTTGAATCCCCGTCCTACCAAACATTCTCGCCCTTTCAATCGTGGGGGCGTCACAATGTGACGGTCAATCACACTATTTGTTGGTAAAAGAGTAACCCAAGGGTTGGCGGTGGGTGGTGAGGACTAGCTGTCTTCCCGCTAGTCTTTCATGCTAAATTAGGGATGGCTAGCGCAGATAACCCTCCTGTATCTTTTCTCGAAATTCAAAACAAACTAAACCAAGCCAAAAATATATGAACAACGAAACAACAATAAAAATAACTGAGATCCAAAGAAATATTACGAAAGAAAATAATTTAAACACAGAAACGATGAACTTTAAAAATAAATTACGTTATTTGATTAAAAGTGTCTATAAAATTGAATATCACGGTAAACAGTCCAGTCATATGGTTGGTTGTTTCGGATACTTGCGCACTTGACACACTAGAGGGAAGGCAGATAGTCAACAACACCCACAGTCAACTGTTGAGTTACTCTAGTGGAATAGTAGGATGTGACTGTCACTCTTATAACGAACTCACGGCCTCACAGTGTAGAGCGTGAAATATTCTTCAGCAACAGGACGTAAACTGTCGACTCATGGATGCCTCGACCGGCATGGGACATTACTCGAAACAAAGTTATCGTAATATGGAATTTATAAGTATAATCCAAAAACAAGTATACATAGCATGTAAATGGCATCATAAACTAAAATTTATTAAGATAAATGATTTAAATATGGTAAAACATGTTAAAATAAATTATATTTTTACAATAGAAATAACAGGTAGAACATAAAAAATGAAAACATCATAAATGTATTAAAATTTATATTAAACTAAAAAAAATACAAAAGAATACGAAGGTTTACCTCCATTTATAAGAAGTGTTGGCGCCAACTGTCCACATGATGAACTTTGTCCATGACTAGTGCTCTTATTATGGGGAGACATGACGGTCTCTTTGGTGTTCTTTTCTGGTCTCAGTAAGGCGATGTAAACCTTGGGAGCAAAGAGACAAGCCAACTGGACACTACTACTTAAACTGAACAAGAAGCTGAGGGTGACTGCTCTGATGGTGGTGCTGGTGCTCAGAACAAACAAGGGAAGGAACGCCAGCCAAATAACACAAGTTGTGTAGTTTGTAAACGTCAAGTAGCGAGCTTCGTTGAATCCATCTGGGCACTTTCTTGTTTTGAAGGCATAGACAGTACAGAAGCCAATCAGAATAAATGGATAAATGAGGCCAACTAGGTAAGAGACCTTGTCAGAACCATTGCAAATTAAAATGTTTTCCTGTCGAGTTGGATAGATGTAACTAACTGTTGGTTGGTCGTACAACAACCAGACGATAGTAATAACCACTTCTATTGAGACCAAGATAGTGGTGATTACTAGTTGAGAACGTGGACTGGTATAACGAGGCTTTTGACATGGTCTCTGGCTACGTTGATTAAATATTCTTGCAATCCGATTGGTTTTGGTAACAATAGAAGCATAACACAGTGTATAGCAAAATCCCAAGAAGAAACGTGTAAGACCACAAGACAAGGGTGTCGGTTTAGCCACAATAACAAAAGTCATACTATAAGAAAGGAAGATACCAAACAGCAAAAGATAACTAAGCTCCCTTCCAGCAGCTTTGATAATTGGTGTATCTCCATTTGCCCAGAACACCAAAGCCATAAAAATGGTCGCTAGAATACCAAGTCCAGCAAACCCCATTGTTCCAATCGCCCAAGGATTGGTGAAGTTCAAGAACTCTTCTGGAATTGGCAAACAATAAGCTTTTGAAGCACTAGGTAAAGTTCCCCAAGGACAGTCCCTACAGGTATATTCATTCTTGAGGTATTGGTACTCTGCACAATCTGTGCACAACCAGCAACAGGTGTCGCCTTCTCTCTGTAGCTTTCTTTGCCCTAGATGACACGGTTCACTGCAGAAAGAGCGTGGAAACTCTGGTTCTTCTTGTTTAAACCTCAGTTCATTCTCGTGTAACTCGAGACTCACTTCCCCTTCTTCTCCTACTTCAGGACGCAAAAAAGTTAACGCTTTATCAATAAGACATACATGGGTTAGTATGGTGTTAGCAAGGATAGTATAAAAAAGGAGAACAGGGTGCATAATAACATAAGCAATTTAAAGATCTAGCTTAAAGACTAAAGCATTTTTAATATTACCTTTCTGGGGCATCTGAATCTTTAGAAATTTGAATAATATATTTTGGTGCGTTTTCTTTTTTAATAATATCTTTATACACACATGTTGTCATTAATTCAATTATTAATAATTTATCTTGAAGTTAGAATACGCTAAATCTTTACGTTTTTTCTTATATTTGAAACTAGATTACTAAGATTATGTTTATATAATTAATTCACAAAAGACAAGTCGAGTCTTCTCAGAGGAATGTGTGTGTTTTATCTTTTTCCTATTTTTTAATGGAAATAGGTTTAAAGGAAATTAATTACTTAATACTACAAACTTAATAGGAAATACATTTATAAAAAGCTTAACTAGATTACTTTGAAGATAATTATAATTCAGTAAATAACACACATATTTAGGACTGAACAAGGAATTTAAAACACGAAACCCACAATATCTGCCCAGACGGAGGTAATCTTCTTATTTGAAATGAACGTCGTTATGTAACTTTAAGGGTACAGTTAATTTTTAGTTACTATATGAAAATTACAGCAGATAATGGAGCTTTCCGGAAGGAGCTAAAAGTATATGAAACACCATTCATTATTTTGTAATGTTCAATAAAATTCAAATTATCTTTTTTTTCTGTTTAGTAATTTAGAAGATACAATAGTCTCCTTCGGTTAATAAAAAAATTAAAGAATAACTCTAGCTTCTGATTGCTTGAACTCACTACATTATGTAATATCCTATTGGCTCAAATATTTTGCTATATCTGTCGTATCTGTGAAACAGCATGCAGAAACAGAAGCGTAGAAAACTCGTATATAACATGCATCAGATAAATGTTATATTTAAGTTTTACATGCATTAGCTTGTTAGAAAAGGTCAGCTTTTTCTACTGCACAGGTTCAAGTAATTTCTTAAGTTGATTTTTGTTAAGCCGTTAAATGTAGTGTCATTAGGAAATAATAAATCACTACTTAATTTGATTAATTCATCAAGAGGAATGTTAGTGTATAAGGACTTAATATAAAAACCATAAAATTTGATCAATCTGTATACATCACCAGTTTTGATATTAAGTTCTTCTACACTAACATTTCGCTTGATGAAGTAATTAAGTAACGTTGTGATTTATTATTTCCTGATGCACAGATTTCAGATCTGTCAAATAGCGGAAACAAAATCATAAAAAACTTGTTTATAGCATGCAACATATATTTCTTATACATCCATTTTCCGTGAGATAACTTGTTGGAAAATATTATCTTTTTCTTATATCCAGGTTTCATTTTTGGATGTTTACTGTCTTTTAACAGTGGTTATTTCATTAGAGTATTTCAGGTATATGTTTCTACTTATTAATGCTAATCTTATTTCTTGTGTTTAAACGTCTAACTGCCAATAAACGTTATTAGAACAGCTTCTCTTTGTATCACTTACTTCTAGACATCACAGAACTTACTATACTACACAGAAAGTTTATCTGAACATGTTGATGAATATGACAAATAGCACTAAAAGAAAAGTCATTAAAGTGTAAGTTACTTATAAAACACATTAAAACATGACTTATTTTAACATATAAAAGATATTTCTAGCTTTAGGAAATATCAGAGGAAAATTTAGAAACATATTCATTAACCCAAAGTAATATTCTTTATGTAGTATATTCATCTGAGTTATTTACAATATCCTATAACATTCACATTTCAAGTGATTACACTTACATGAGCTTTTAAGGTATATTTTCAATAATTTATGTTTAGAATGTCCTAAACTAACTATATCTCAATTCTATACATATAGAAGTGTATTTATATAACATCATATTGATTACACTTATTAAAACACAGAACGTAATTATTATTCAAAACGTGATAACAAGAACAAGCATATATTTATTATAAATCCATTCCGGAATGGAACGAATAAATGTCATAGTTTTATGGGGATTGTTTCTTGGATATTTCAGTGAAGAACTACGGTTCATGTATTGTCATTAATAACTATTAATAGCATACTTCTGCATAACAGAATAACATTTCTAGTATTACAGTAACTAGACCGGATGTTTGGTCACGTATTTTAGCCAACACTTACGAATATAATGCCCGACATTAGTCCACGTGTAGCTGTCTGACCTGTTCTGGAAGTTTATGATACTATATCTGGGAGGAGCATCACCACTCGGAAGAAAGCCGAACGTTTTCCCATTTTCATCTAAACATTCGAAAAATAAAAAATAAAAACAAACAACAACAATAATAATACAACAAAACTTCAGTGTCAATAAAGACTAATGTTAAAAAATAACACGATACTCAACATAACTACAAAAAGGTAATACGTAATAAGGGAGAAAAAACTATCATATGTTACTTATACCATCAAATGAACGTATTATATTGTTCAAAAATCGTCCTCCGCACTTTGAGGTTTTTGGTGTGTTATAAAAGTGAAAGTCAAATAAATCCTAAGAGTTGGCGGTAGGTGATGTTGATTACTTGCGTTTATTCTACTCAATAAGTTTAAAACTAGGGACAAATAGCGCATATAGCTCTCGTGTAACTTGCGAAAAAAAAATCTAAACAACAGGAACAACTTACACAAAGCTTAGCAGAAATTACTGACTATATCTTGGTTTTGTATTTATTAATTTTTTTCATGTCTATTTTAACAAGAAAACAACAACTTTATTTTAGGTTTTATGGCCACATAGACATTCAATAAACAATCTAAGTAAAACATACGTAAAATGAAAGTCAAACGAACAACTTGGATATTTAATCTTAAATTAGATGTTTTGATTTTTTATGACCAAAATCCCCCCAAAAAAAGAAGACTGAAGAGCTGAGAAAATCAATGTAAGTCATTGATATCTAGTAGACCTTAAATATTTGTACATCTAAATAATACATTTATAGAAAATACTCTTGGCCGACTTCTATACATTTACCATATTTAAAGATCAACTAACGGAACGTGTATTAATAACCAGAAAAAGAGTGAACATTTTTCTGGGCATTCAAGAAACCAAACTTTATAACATTTCAACTATAAATTACTGTCATGTTTCAAATGTGGCTTCAACCACACGTTATTATTTGTTTGTAGAAATAAAGAACTTGAATAGAAGTCTGGCGGAAAAATAAGTAAAATAAAACAGTGTGATTTACATTTATAGTAAGTCTTAACCGATGCACATAAAATAAGTCATATCCTAATCAAAGAATTGTGTAAACATATATAATAAATCGCAATCCAGTCAAACAGTCATTGTTTATTTGTTTTCGGATATTTGCGCAAAACTGCACTATCTATTTTACTCGTCCATAATTTTGAACTGATATACTGGAAGTAAGACGGTTGCTTAGCATACTTCACTGCTAACTGTTGGGCTATTGTTATCAAATATTGGAATTTGACCATCACTCTTATAATGGCCTCACAGTCCCAAAGTGTGGAGCCCGATTTTATGGGAATGGGACGTGAACCATGGACTCTCGGATGAACAGTCCGGCACACTAATTACTACAGCAAGCCAGGCCTTCGAACAATAATTGAAAAATACAATATCATAAAAAAAAGGTTCTAGGGAAAGTAAATAGCTTGAAGAATATCAGTTACGTTTTAGGCTTAATCTGTAGTGCTTACAGACTACAACCCTAAAAAATGGGTCTCGATTCCTTGTGGTGGAAAAAGTGTCAAAAAAAAAAACCACTGTGTAGCTTTGCACATAGAAAACACCAACAGAAAAATTGTCCCCGGTGGTACAGCGGCAAGTCTGTGAGCTTATAACGCCAAAAATCGGATTTCGATACTCTCGGTGGGCAGAGTTTATTGGTACTTTGGGGCTTAACACCAAACTAAAACTTCCAAAAAATTTGTCTGAAGAATATACAGGGTGATTATAAATTATTGGATCCTTTCTTAATTGAATTACATATATAAGAACCACACTAGATTGTGGGAGACTGATGTCTCAAGTTCTTTCCCACTAGTTTAGTTGAGAGTATATGGAAGAAATGAATTCGGGCACGCAACGCAATGGCCACGATTACTCCGGAGATTCTGGCACGTATGTGGGCGGAGATTGATTATCGCCTGAACATCCTTCGAGCCTCGAACGTTGTCCATGCCGAGGTATACTTACGGCGCCGCCACCAGCTATGGAGAAATCTAAGGCATTAGCTTCCATTATATTGTAAATAGCAATTGTTTATCTTCTGTAGTTCTCATTCTATTTAACTGACAAACTGGTTCCATAATTTATGGGCACACTGTAGAATCTCCATGTAAATATCTGGAAGTTAATCTAGAAAAAGGAACAAATATATTCGTCAACTTTCCTATTTGAAAGTACATTTGCATTGTATGAACTTCATTGAAAATACATTTGCATTGTATGAACTTCATTGAAAATACATTTGCATTGTATGAACTTCATTGAAAATACATTTGCATTGTATGAACTTCATTGAAAGTACATTTGCATTGTATGAACTTCATTGAAAATACATTTGCATTGTATGAACTTCATTGAAAATACATTTTCACTGTATGAACTTCATTGAAAATATACATTTCATAAAAATGTAGTTAAATGTTATATGAATATTAACTCTAGGATAGTTTGTTTGTTTATAATTAAGCAGAAAGTTACACAATGGGCTATCTGTACTCTGCCCACCAAGGGTATCGAAACCCGGATTCTAGCGTTATAAGTCCTCAGACATACCGCTGTGCCACTGGTGGGGGGGGGGGCTCTGGGATAGTGCACAAGGTTTCTAAAGTCATAATTAGTCTTTCATTGTTCAGTATCTACCAGACGGCTAAAATACAACGAAAGTTTCAAAGTAAACAACAAAAATTACCTGTAAATCTTACGTATTGAAGATACTTTTTCAGCACTGCACCTTCTATCCGTTTCATAGATTCACAAAGACCTTCTTTACCGCCACATTTGTCCTTGTGCATATCGTGCAGCGCATGCGCAAAGGCATAAGCAGCGTCCCGCACGAAGTGTAAAGCCGGAGTTTGTGTGTACCCGTTATCCTGCGATATCCTTTTGTTACGAGAGCACCAGTGCTGATACTTGTTACTCCATTTTGTGTCTTGCAAAGCTTGATATTGACATTGGAAGTGCTCCTCCCAGAATTCAACAAACCAGGGATTGTCCTTGTTGTTCTCTGGAGTCAGGCTGGTAAAGTACTGGTCGAACCCGCTTAGAGACCGCACCAGTGGAGAAATTGTTATGGCCCCTTCCAAAACTTCCTCGTTGTTTTCGACGACACTATTTCGTCCACTCCAGCCATCGCTCCCGATCCACAAGAATCGTTTGGTGATCCCTAATCTTGTAGCTGCTGTCATAATATTTCTTGTTGTACGTTTATCGGCAAACACCACGACCACTACAATTATAAGATGATGTTGCTTAGCATTTAGAAATTACACATCTATCTCGCTAGAGGAAATACTAGAAATACTTTAATAATGGCGGAGCTTTTCAGTTAAACATTTATTCTTCAGCGAAAGAGCTCTAAATATTACATAACTAAGCCATTCGAGTGTAGAACTATATATAACGGTGTATTACATGAAATCACAACATAAATTACAAACATCAGAAGAAAGCTATATATAAATTAGGACTCGTGTAACAGCGATACTCTTCTGCGAATAAACACACTTTACATCATACTTGCTTCAGGGAATTATTTACAACTCAAAATAAATATATTTATTTCTCTATAGTTAGTGTACTTAGAGCTCGTTTTATAATTAATTGTGTAAAGCGTCACAGTCTCTAGTTAATAAGTCACGTGTGAAAATGAGGATCTTTGTGATCTTTCAATGGAATTACTTTGCTGACGCAATTGTCGCAAAAAAGCATTGTATTAAAGTAACGCGTGACATATTCTGATTACCTGTTTAGTTCTTCATCCAAACAGTAGTTCACAGTTTTGGGTTTGTTTTAGATTTCAAAAGTTTTAAACTAAGCAAACAGCAATTTCCCGAATAGAAATTACAACCAAAAATTATTTATTTGTGACTAATAAAAAATAAATATATTACAATATTAAGTAAGATGTAATTCATACTGCGAAAGAGTTATTAGATGTAATAATCTTGAATATTATAAACATATATACAAGTTATCTTGAAATATAGAAAACCTATAGAAAATAAATAGAAATAAGGACTTGTCCTCTTCCCAAATTATTATTGATGTTTGTGGCCTACCTCTGGCGTTCGTTTTCTGTCTGAGATTTCGAATAACTATGTCGTAATCGTGGTCAGTGAAGTGGTCAATGTTGATGCTCTGAGGATTGGAAAAACAGATATTGTATGCCGGTGCCAAGTCTTGTAATTTTTCATAGCCCTTGTTACCATAGTCGGTGTTGGAGTAAACAATGGAGACGTAGGTCCACCTATACTTCCTAGATAGAGGAGAGTATCAAAGGTGTAATTGCATACGGAGAAGAATTGTACACTTTTATGACGTTAAGGTGATTCATTAAGGTGATGTGAAAACGTGTATTTTTTTGCATTTTGCTTATATTAAATATAACGTATTTCATTTGTTAGAATATAAAAGTTTAGTAGGGAAACTATATAGAACAAACTCAAAGTTTTAAACACACTAGGATCAGACATGGAAAACAATTATATATACACAGCGTGGTCACAAGTAAAAAGACGCCACCTTTTCAGAAACAAATGAAAATGTTCAGTCATATTCACATGAATTGATATATTTATAATTTAATTAATATCTAGTAGATCTTCCTTTCGCTTCGTGGAGTTCGTTGATCCTTTGGGGCATCGTGAGAATCATCTCGTCAATTTGAGATTGTGGGATTTTCGCCCACTCTTGCTTAAAAACTTGAAGTAGCTCGCTCTTCGAAGTTGGTTTTTTTTTGGTTGTTTCTTGACTTGCCGGTCGAGTATGGCCCAAAGGTTTTCGATGGGG